TGGTTTTTGGACAGTGTAAATGTTTAAAGTAGATGTGCAATGCATGCTTGACAGGCTATGTCAGTCCTTTCTGGGAAAACAAGGTCTGGCCAAATTAGTTTTAAACCAAATAACTTCCTCATATACCACAATATATTAAATTTTCTTATTGCTTTTCATTTATTCACAAACTTCAAGAAAGTTCTCATTGTTGAAAAAGTATATTCACTTATATAATTTTAAAGTATTTATAGGGACAGGAGTTTATCTAATTTAGTTGTACTATTACATCTTCTCAGGTAATTTATTAATTTCTTGAAAGATAACTTAGGTAGAAAAATATTAATATCCTACTCTAAGAAATTATCCCACCACATTTTCTTATTTTATGCTTAGAAACTACCGAAGGTAGACAGGACAAAATATATGAGTGGCTTTCCAGATATCAAGAAACTCATAAGTGATGAAGATAGACAGTAAAAACAGGTTTCTGATCCCAAATATTGTTTAATGTTTATAATATTCATAAAAATGCCAGGGAAAATAAGTTTTAAGGGTAGGAATATACACAGGAAGACCTAGGTACAATTTTTCTTAAGATTTAACTAAGAAAGTGATTAGGCCGTTACTCTAGTTTCAAAATGAAAGATGGTCCTTTGCTTATGTTAAAATTTCTCTACCCTTCTGAAGATTCCCCAAATAACTTTACATTAAAAATGAAATTTTATCGCACAATTAGAGGTGAGGCTTGATATCAAAACACTACTGGGAAGGAAATAAAATGGATTAGATTATACGTAGGACTAAATAACTTACAGTGAAGGTCAGTTTTTATCCCTATTTGGCTAAGTCAGTCCCAATTTACACCAATTGTCATCATGTCTTGTCTGGTTTAGACTTTTAGCACTTTCAAACATCATCTGAATTAAATGGTTACTTAGGGTTGTGCCAAAATTTGACATAGAGCAGAGTTTGACAGGAAAGTGACAATATAGAAAAGGAAAGAGAAAAAGAAAAAGAAAACTAGCTATCTGCTATTGGACACTCTATTATTGGAGAGAAAAAATTTGGAAAGCACAGGGTAAGATTCCAAAATTTAATTGTCGCTGCTTTTACAATTTTGCTTAAGACTAACCTAAGACCCATCTGTTTTTAGTATCCATATTTTATGCCAGCATTGACACATGCAACACGGGTGAAGATTGACTCCACCCATGCTGATATTGCCCTTACCAACACAGAGAAGTGGTGGACCTCATTGAGGTTATTCTGCATTTGCATCTGAACTATTTTGCTTATTTGAATAAGTAGAAATAGGACTTCTTGGCACCATGTGAAAGTACAAATTTATTATATATTTGGCCTTGTAGAGACAACTATAGTCCTAAATTTTTCAAGAGAGAGCAAAATAAATTTATGTATTAAAATATTAGACATTTAAAAATTTTGATAATTGCATTCAAACAGAATTACATATTAATCAGAGACGTGTATGAGGAATAATGTTCCAAACCAAACTCATAGGTCAAAGGAAAAAATAAATGTCTTAATTAAGTAATTAAATATTTACACCATTTTTGGCCTAAAAATCAAATACAGTTACAATTTCAAGCAAAGGTTTGGATAATATCGTTGCAATAAATATTATACATAAAGAATGTGCTTATCCTATAAAGAGAAATGCTAATTTTTGAGAAACCTCCAATATAGAAAAAAAGTAGGATCATGGACATTGAAAGCCCACAATAGAAAGACAAAATATACATATACTAATAAGTTTAAATTTCCAATAATCAAAGGAACTCATACTAAACTGAGTTTAGATATGATTGCTAAATGCTGCAGTGAGCTCTATACTACAAGTAAGCTCCATTGCTGTTATTTCAGCATCACTGGTCACCAGCTGTGTATACAAATTTGGCTATGCACTTCAAAAGCCTAATAACCCATCTTCCATGACCTATCCCATAAAATTAGCACCATAGTATTTTACATTATAAGCAAACTTAGAAGCAATGTGAATGTCAACCAACTGAGGAATAAGAAAATGCATGATACATCATTTAACTTTAACAATATTCTGTGTAAAGACGGCGCATCTACATGGAAAGGGTATACTTAGATTTAAAACTTATGCATAGACAGACATAGATATTACACGGGGGCATGGAGTATTTCGGTTGGTTCCTGTCTATTTTCTCATTTTCTAAATATCTTTAATGTTCCTATACTGCCCTGTAATTTTTTAAACGCAGGCATGAGTCAACACTGAAAGAATGGGAGGGAAATGTTTTTAAAATCTGGGGAATTATGGAACTGCTGAAATCTCCCTTTCCCTTTGTGAAGAACGTTGGGGAGATCTCTAAGGCTTCAGTAGTGAGTTTCGGCACCAGGAATATTCATGGTCAAGGCTAAGGACATTCATGCTCTGAAAGGGAGATTTTGGGGCCCATTTGTCCCTCTTGGGCTTTAACATTCTCTGTGGACCAATAACAGTGACTGTGCTTGGTCTCCACTGACCATCTACTATCCTCTTAAATTATAGTGAAATAATGAGCAAAGACCTCCAAGGAGCTTGCTCTTATTAAACTTCTGATGGGCAGGGCTGAGCGGGCATTTCCCTCTCTCTCCATTCTGTGGATTGCTGCTGAACACTTGCTTTTAATTTCCCCAGTGGTTGCGAACAGTGAGGGGAAAAAAAAGAGAAACACAACAAAGATATCTTTTAGGAAAACAATTCATGGAAGTCCTGGTGTAAAACTAGTAATATTTCAAGAATGAAAAAGCTTAAAAATTTATAAGGATGCAATGTGGGTCTCCTCAATAAAAATCTGACTGATAATGTACTCTTCACAGTCATAGATGAATTTATCATGAAGTAGCCACTGGATTTCAGGTTCGATCACTTCCATTGAACTCTTCTCTCAATGTTCTGCCCTTTTCATGTTCTCCATTATACACTAGCTGGGTCAAAACACCAGAGATTCTAATCAAAACCAATCATAAAGTGCACATGGGGTCAAACATATTATAAGGATTCTTATTTGCCTCAATTCTAGGCTCCTTGAAGGCAGAGACCACATCTTGCACATTCTTTTAGATCTCTTCAGAACTTAATACTTTAACTCATGCAGTGTACCCTGGGAAATGTATGTGGAATGAATGAATTGATATCTATTTAGGATTATGGCAAAACTATATAGAGTGATCATACTGTCACTTGTTAACTGGAGCCATGTGCCTTTGAGAAAGTCTCTTAACCTGTTTGAATCTCATTAAATAGATAAAGCAGTGGCATAGTATTTCATAGGGTTGTTGGGGAAAGTAAATCAAATAAGACATGAAAAACTAAGCACTCTGTTATTAATGTGTTCTTACTACTATTTGCATGTGAATGCATATAGAGGTAGTTCCTTTACTTTTTCTAATTTGCTTTTACTCGTGAACTTTTTGCTCAATTATTTCTAGTTCAGTTTGTGTTCAATTCTGGGGGACTTGGTTTGATGGAGCAATGTGGAGCAATCATATCCTGTAAAAGGGATGCTCCCAAACGAGTGATGCCCAGTAGAAACCTGATGGACGCCACAGGGGTGATTTTAAATTTCATAGTAGCCAAATTATAAATGTAAAAAGAAACAGACAAAAATAATTTTAACCTATGTTATTAAACCAAATATTATCTATTTAGCATGTAATCAATATAAAATTTTAATGAGATATATTGCATACGTTTTTATCAATATAAATATTTAATGATTTATGTTGCATACTTCTTTTATACTGTCTTTGATTCTTAATGCAATTTGTACTTAGAGCACATCTCCCGTCAGAACAGCCATGTTTCAGGTGCTCAACAACCTCATGTGGCTTTCAGCTACCATACTGGACAGTGCAGATCTATATGATGCTGATATAAAATGTTTGTCCAAATAACCTACCAGTTTATAACTGTAGTAATCTTATTTAACTAAATAGCTATCTATGCATAATTAAACTTCAGGTTTAAGCAGAAATTTTCCTCTTTGGGAAGACAATGCTCTATAGTATTATTTAAATCAGTTTTTTCCTTCCTTTATCTATTAAAAAGTTATTCATTAGTTTTTGCTCCCATCTCACTAATCATATTAACATGGTATGTTATTAATCAGCAGTTTTCTGCGAAAAGAAGGAAAGTAAACACCACTTTATCCTAAACACTTTTTCCTTTGATTGTCTTCTTTCTCCTAATTCTTAGATTGTTTCTCAGAGCTCTTGTATTTTACTTTTCAACATGAAATCATTATTTTCAAATATCCAACACCTAATAAATATAAGCTAAACACTCAAATTTTACAATGTACAAGTGAGTCAAGAATGTTGTAAATTAGGTAAAATCTGTCAAGGTCATTATCATTTCATAGGCAAAATGTATACTCTTGATCAGTGGTTTTCAAACTGAATTTCAAGTGTGAGAACTAGAGCCTCATGTTGGGAGAAAAGTGTATGGTAAGGATCCCCTCCCTTCCTTACCCACCACTCTATCCCCATTCAATCAAACAGGTTGCATATTAACTGTTTTATGTGTATCTTCCTCAATGAAAGATTATGCTTGAGCAAAAGTGAACAAACAAATTAATTAATTAATTAATGTTCTTGAGCCAAAGGACATAAAATTGTTTCATCATGACATCTAAATTAAGAATAGTCAGCAAGTCGAGCATATCATCCTTGAGTGAATGGTGTGACATAACATAATCCTGCTGAAGATGTTCTTCCAGAAATTAAAAATTCTGAGATTCATGAATGGATGTGGATCATACTTAGAACCCAAAGGTAAAAGGCTAATTTCACAAAGGAAACCATTAACTGGAATCAACCACAGTAAGTATTAGAAAAAGGAGGAAATTGCACAATGAGATGTGATTAATTTGCCTTGATTTGTGCAGGGCCACACCATAAGGTTTTAATAAAATCAAATATTTATCTTTTGTGTCCAGCTTTGCCCATCATATCCATCTCTCTTTTGTGTAACCTACAGAGCTATGGAGTGGGGCAATTATTGCATGTATGCTGACTTTGTCCTCCTGGGCTTGTTCAGGAACTCCAGTTTCCCTGGGCTTCTCTTTGCCATCATCCTCCTGGTCTTTGTGATCTCCATAGCCAGCAACAGCATCATGATCATTCTCATCCACATGGACCCACGCCTCCACACCCCCATGTACTTCCTGCTCAGCCAGCTCTCTCTCATGGACATCCTGTACATTTCCACCATTGTGCCCAAGATGCTGGTTGACTAGATGGTGGGCCAGAGGGCCATTTCCTTTGCAGGATGCACTGCCCAGCACTTTCTCTACTTGACTTTGGCAGGAGCTGAGTTCTTCCTCCTAGGACTCATGTCCTATGACTGATATGTTGCCATCTGCAACCCACTGCACTATTCTGTCCTCATGAGCCACAAAATCTGCTTGTTGATTGTGGTGGCAGCTTGGCTAGGAGGTTCCATAGGTGGCTTTCTGCTCACCCCAGTCACCATGCAGTTCCCTTTCTGTGCCTCTCGAGAAATCAACCACTTCTTCTGTGAGGTCCCTGTCCTTCTGAAGCTCTCCTGTGTGGACACATCAGCGTATGAGACAGCTATGTACGTATGTTGCATCATGATGCTCCTCATCCCTTTCTCTGTTATCTCAGCCTCTTACACAAAGATTCTCATCACTGTTTATAGGATGAGTGAGGCAGAGGGAAGGCGAAAGGCAGTGGCCATTTGTTCCTCACACATGGTGGTTGTCAGTCTCTTCTATGGGGCTGCCATGTACACCTATGTGCTGCCTCACTCTTACCATACCCCTGAGCAGGACAAGGCTGTGTCTGCCTTTTACACTATCCTGACTCCCTTGCTCAATCCACTCATTTATAGCCTTAGGAACAAGGATGTCACAGGGGCCCTGCAGAAGTCTCCAGGGAGATGCTTGTGCTCAGGAGGGGTAATCAACTTCTAAAGAAACTGCATTTGCTGCTAGAGATTTGAACACAAGGATACAGGAGTTTTTCATCACTTTTGGACTTAAATATTCTCTACCTGGAAAATTAATGTAACTCATATGCCAGCTACTGTGAGGCATTCTTGGGATTTGGAAGATGACTGTGGGATTTTGAAGATGACTGTGGGATTTTGAGGATATGGTCATTTTTTGAAAGGTGTGAGGGTTCTGAACAATGGGCAATTTTGGATGGAAGGGGAATAAAGTTGGGGTTTCAGTAGTCACCCATCTGTTTCCCATAAAGCATGCTTACCACTGGAGACCATACAGTTTCCTATTTGTTGCTGTGGTCAGTCACAGCAAAGAAATACTCATCTTCAGCTCCTTCTCTTACTTTTCACCAATGTCTCTCTTTAGACGCTCTACAAATTGACCACTTCAAATATATAAACTTGTAAAATATTATTTTGATTGTATTTCAAATGTTATTTCAATATTTACTTGATTTTTTCTGCAAATGGTACTTCTGGTCATCAAAAACATTGAATTCAATCAAGCCAATATTGAGATCATAATTATTGAAAAGATTGATTTGACTCTATCTAACTTTCTCAACAGAATTTCATCATAATGGCTTATAGATACAATAGTATACATCAAATTTTGGAGGATATCTTCACATTTATGTTTTCCCTACAAGATTTTGCTAAGCTCATTCCAGAAGGAAGGATTCAATGTAAAAATAAATGTAGTTTTGAGGCATTGATAAATATGGATGGCTCCTACATTTTCTATCCCTCATGTTCCAACCTCCTAATATAATTTAAGAGAAGTAATCAGGACAGTTTTAAATCACATCTTTTTCACTGTATTTAAATTGTGTGGTGGCATAATACATTTCATTTCAAAGATTCTCATGCAAAAGAATGGGAGTTTTTTGAGTGTTAAAGATTGATGTATTCTTTTGGAATTTAATATAAGTATTTTGTTCTATTTTAATAGTATTTTAATTCAGTTTAATTTATTTAAGCAATTCAATGCTTGAATATTGACTAGCATTTTTCTGAAGTAGAGAAAATTTTTATTTCCTCTTTTCCATGCCTTTGCTGAATTGACTAAAACTCATTCTAAGTCCTCAGTCTTTCCATCTTCCGACTTTTATATCTTGGAGTTTACTTATCGTATATTTCATTCTCTAAGAAGGAAATATTTTGCATTACAAAGAACAACATATAATTATAGATAAATTCATTTTTATTTTTTGAGGAAGATTAGCCATGAGCTACCATCCACCACCAATCCTCCTCTTTTTGCTGAGGAAGATTGACCCTGAGCTTCCTCTACTTTATATGTAGGACACTGCCCACAGCATGGCTTGATAAGCAGTGCATAGGTCAATGCCTGGGATCTGAACCAGTGAACCCTGGGCTGCTGAAGCTGAGTGCGCAAACCTAACTTCTATGCCACTGGACCGGACCCTATAAATTCATTTATAAAATGTAAAATATTAGGGTGGTTTAAATGCGTTTAGACAAGTTAGCTGGGGTTTGACATATGTTTTAGAAAATCCAGTGCTTCCATACTCAGGAAAAGAAAAGGAGAAACATCTCATTATAGAGCTTTCAAAGGCGCCTTATTTTTTATCTTGCATTTCCAAAGAGGATACATGGGTCAAATATGATATTGTTTTTTATCCCTAAATGTAGGCATCTGTCCTATTTTCCCACAATAACACCCAGATTGGAACCAAGCTAGAGTCCACCTCTGTATCCTAATCCCCTAGGATTCCTCAACTCAGTCCTTTACTCTCCTTGAACTTTATTTTCTAACACCTATGTCATGGGGAGGATGACTGAGATCAGGATTAGAATTTTTGCCATTTTCTGATTTAAAAACTGTGAATATGCCTTAAAAATGGATTCTAGACAGGAAAGAAATAGTGAGATTAGGAAAATTGCATTTTCAAGATAGAGAAGCTTTGCTGTTATAACTCTTGTGAAGCTCTAATTATAGATGTGTTTACTATGTCAGGTTGAAGAAATTAATTCAACTTTTTGAACTCCTCTTTCTCAATATATTAAATTATAATATTCTAACCTGTTTCTTACCTTGGAGGGATAATTTTACAAGAATATGATAACTTGTACAAAGCAACTTTAGCTTTGGAAGGTGCTTAAACCATGAGGTATTATAACTAACTCATCACTACAGAGAAGGGGCAGTGAGATCTGTCTCCCTCAGCCACTTCTATTCCAGGACTGGGCTTGTCTCTTCACATTGACCTTTAGGCAGAATTATTTCTTGCATAGATGAAGCTATAGAGGTTATTAAATTCTTCCAATTTCAACATAATACATTTTATAGAACATATAGAAAATATTTCAAGGACCAGTGTTAGTCTGACTGGCCATTACACATCCTTGTACTAAAATAATAGCATTGCCTCTAGTGTGGCATGAGGAGCTGGACAGCATAACGGCTTTTCACACTTATTTCCACCTAATTTCGGAAACTAAAGAAAACAGGCAAAAAACACCTCAACAAAAAGAAAATTTCTTCTTGGAAGGAAACTACTCAACCAACTGTGTATGGCTGACCCCACCTTTCCTAACCCAGTGAATCAAAATGGGCCACATGCTTCCAGGCATATTTCTCATATACGTTTGCTGTCTTTCTTTTCCAGCTTAGTTTTAGGCATATAATTGGCACTCAAATAATATAAATTGAAAAAAAATAAATGTTGTGTGTTCTATAATACATTTCTTTACAACATCACCTCATTCTCTCTCCTCTAGTGTAGCGTTATCAAATCTAGGCCTCTCTGTCTTTCCCCAATTTAAGCCTTTTTTTCCTCCCTTTCTTCTACCTCTTTTTCTCTTCCATAATTTGTAACCCTTCCTCTTACATACTTGACTAACAACCCCTACCTCAAAACCCGTTTCCTCCTTTCATTTTTCTCCCCTACTCTTGCAGTTTGTCCACTTCCCCTTTTTCTACTCTTTGACTGAGTTCCAGCATCCACTGCTGTGTGCGGTAATGCTGCTCTTCCCCAATGGTGCGCTGGGTTTTAATTATCCTAGGTTAGCAGGATATCCAGGGACAGGGGAATTTCAGAATCTTTTAAAATGAGTTTCTAAAGTGTATTGACTGTGATATGAGAGGAAAAGGAGATGTGGCTAATGAAGAGATATTTGTAATGGAAACTTATTTAACACGGAAGTGTTTCTCTTGGTCAGATGCAATTAGTTATAGCAAGAAGGTTTTGCAGAATGGAAAATGTAGGTAAATCTATACCTGCTCCCTTTATAATGAACAAAATAGGTCTCTTTGGTTCTAGTATATTGATACAGGTAAATTGTAGTCTAAAACAGACAGAATTTCCCTAACATTCAGAATCTACTATTTCATAGTGAGCTGGATAAGTGTGGAGAAGTGCATTCCCTAATCTGGTCAGACACCTGATTCTCAACTGTGACTCCATTCCCTCTGTCTTGGGTGCCTGATCCTTCATGCGTGCTCTGGTTAGGTTCTGGCATCTGCTTATAGGTATAAGCACACTATTTGTTTATAGTCATAAACAATGACTGCTCATTGTTACTTATATCAACACTTTTTGTCTTAGAGTATAGACTTTAATTTTAGTGATTTCCAGTCTTTGTTTCTTGATATCCAAGAGCACCTTCAATAATATCAAAAGAAAAGCCCTAAACATAATTTTATTCACTTAGTTATTTATATCAAATAAATATGTTAAGTCTACTTTACTAATATTGATAGGATTCTTGGAGATGAAGTAAATACAATAAAGCAATACGTATTAATATAGAAAAAAAGAAATATCATTTAAATTCTGATTCATAGAACACTGGAGCTTGAAGTAAGCTCGGAGAAGATTGTGTTGAATCTTTTCATTTACCAGATGGAAGAACAACTTCCAGGAAGGGAATTTCATGCCCAAGAACACACAGGAAATGGCAGAACTATTGCTGCAGCCCAGGTATCCTTACCTCAATTTCAGGGATCTTTAGCCTTTCCTCTGAGCCTTTTAATTTAATGATTCCTCAAAGGATATGGTAGAATGATATGCTTTCTGGGTCACTGTTTAGATCCAATATTCTGCCAGCTCACATATTTTCCTTCTCCCAGCTCTCCCAGTGTCTCCATACCTTATTTGTCCATGTCTGAACCTCCAGCTAGGAAACCTTTGATATCTGTCTCTGTCTTTCAGGGACATGAATTGATAAGTAAAATCTTTAGGAATCTGGAAAGAACATTTAAAAAAATATATTAAATTAGTTCTTATCATGATAAACAGCAGGGTTTTATCCAAAGAGGACTCAATCTCAATGCCAGGTAGCACTTGGGCAGAGTGTGGGTGGACAAAATTATCTGAAATCAAACCAAGCTCTGGGAACATAAACAACAAGATTTTGGAAATTGCTGTTTTGGAATGTAGGATCCATGTCTATTTCTACCTTTATACAAGTAATATTACTGGAAAGGGCTGAAGGAGCTACAGGGTAGAAGGAGGAGGAGAGCTAAGAGAGAAAGATGAGCAAGAAACAAGAAAAGGAAGATTGAGAAGTCACAAATTATCTATCATATATAAATAATTTGGACTCCTGTATATTTACAAGATGCCTAATTTTAACAATAGATTAAAAAATTGTAATGTTTACAGGCTGTGATATTTTCCTTAACAAACTTGATAATAATAATAGAAGCCTGACTTAATTGTTATAGCAGCACTTCTCAAAAATTTTCATGACATGGATACCAAAATAAATGGTAGTCTTCTGCCACACTGGGGTAAACTGAGTGGCTGTTGGCAGCTGACTCAACTACCTGCTGGTTGTAGACTGCTCAGGCATTACAGACAACTAGAGGACTGAGAGGGTCAATATCTAGTTTTCACCCATTCATGGCTCTGTAATGAACCCATCACACTGGAGGGAAAATTCTGTTCAAACCAATTTGATGTCCAATTGAACAACTTTTATATTTATTGAAGACTCATA